ATTAACACAACTTACCACTCCAAGAACGTTTCCTTTTTCGTCACATATTTCACGTTTCCACAAAATGTCTGTAGGTAAAAAATGATGATGACATACAGCTTGTTTTGTATTTATAATTATGTCTGTTCTTTTTAAAGCTGCTTGCCACATTTGTTTTATACTTTCGTCTTTTGGGACAAAAAAGAAATGAACTTTTTCTTTGTTAGATGTATAACCTGATGTACATCCAAATGCAATACAGCGCGGCATCGTTTAACTAAATTAAAATAAAATAAGCTTTTCAATTTTACATTATTCATGTTTTTTTTAAATACTATTGATTTTAACTTTTTATTTTACCTTTGCTGACGATACATAACTTTGTGAACGATGTAAAGTTGTTGAAGTCACTAAAGTTGTAGGTTACATTAAATGTAAATGCCGTGGTAACTGTTACCTAGCGCCGCCTAGCGGCCTGGCGTCATTATGTGGACACACCGAAATAAAGAATATAATAGGAAGTGTCAGGGAGCTGGCTCAGACGCATCGACCCCGAATTGATCTCGATCCTCACTCTCTTGGTCGCTACCTACCGAACCGGACGGATGCACTAACAGCACTCCCGACGATCGATCGCTTAACGGAGACTTTCGCTATTCTGCTGGATGGAGAGTGACGACGACGTACGGTGAGGTGTCCTCGTTTAATTTGTGAGCCACGAATCCGCGTTACTCGAGTTTCGTGTCGAGGCTAGTCGCTGAATCTCGCGTACTGGTACTGGCAAGGACATAACCTTCGCCATAGTTTCGAATTTTCGGCAGTGGCTAGAATCGGATTCCACGGAGCTTTGTGGTATTAATTTGTAGTTCTAAGTGCGTATCGCGTAATTACTTTATTGAGTAGTACAAGCCCTGAAGTTTCAGTAACGCGCCAAGCAGCATCCTCGTTATTTTGTTGTGTCTCGCGTGTACAAGTGTTTATCTATTGTATCGTTTCGCGACCGCCATATTCTGTACCGGGTATCGTACCAATCATCGTATCGAATACCGTACCAAATATCGTATTCTGAAACTAACGCTATCGTAACGTGTTGCGTCCTGCGTAATCATTACTTATTGGTCACCTGCTGCTGTATTAACCTTTCACGCTACTCTATCGTACCGCTATTACATTCTCTAAGGCATTTTGGTGTGGATTTCCCGAGTGATCTGCTGAGAGCGAGGGGTAAGCGATTCGGAAGAGCTATAACCGGGGAATTTCGTACCGTTATCGTACCGAATCAAAGAGACCTATCGTACCGTACTAGGGGATCTGTCGGATCGAAAAGCGCCTAGCTCTCGTTCCGGGGGACAAACTCCACGGGCGGGCTCGCTTGTTGAAACGGGAGACGTCTGCCGTCATTCCGATTCGAGATTGAACAAGCTCTTCCGACTTCGCGAGCGCTTTGCTCAGATGGACTAATTGGCACGTGCTTGCTGCTTTTTAATTGATTGCCGAAGTATCCTGCGACCCGGGGACGGGAATTCGGCGAGAGCTTCGCGCCGTGCATGGCCGCGGCGTAAGCCTGACCAGCCCCTGCGAAATCAAGTAAGTCCCGCGGCGTAGATATTACGCCTGGCGATCCGTCTTGACCCGTCTAGTGGTAAGCGCACGATTTGGCCAGATTAATCGATTCCACCGCTTTCAGCTTCAGGAAGGCTTTGATTAAACGCTTGTTTTGTTGTCTATCATACCGCCTAGTAACGTATAGCTTATGTGAAGTCAGCGCGACGACGTAGCGTCCTCGGTATCACGAGTCGATATACGAAGTTGGTCCTGCGATCGATCACGTTTCTGTTTAAAGTGCAGTGTTAATTGTCTCTGTACTTTTGTATTTTTTTTTACTTTATTTTCTTTTGTAATCACTTACCGCCGCGACAAAGCGATCTCGCCGTATCATATCGGTGAACTTTATTTTTGTATTTTTTTTTGTTATTTTCGCAAAGTCGTCTCTTATTCCGCGATGTTATAATAAATTGTTTATTTTTATATCTATTAGCAGTGTGGTTGATTGCGATTCTAATCCGAGATTCGTTCGGGACAGCCTTGGTTATTTATCGTCCAGACCCAACCCCTTTCTGTTTCAAATAGAGCTAGTCGGCCCATTGTGTTGAGCGACGCACATTTTGACGCGGTTACGCGTCTGGCGCCCAAAATTACAACCAAGGATCCGTCGGCTCGGCGCAGTGGTGTGCTCGGTTTACCACCCTTTTCTCTCCTGCCGATATAGACGTTCCCGATCTCGCGGACTTCCGTCCGTGTCCCGATCTCGCACTTCCGTTTCGGGCGAGGCGACGCGAGATTACCGTAAGAACTCCGAAAAACGTCACAATACATACATACATACATATATATACTATATATATATATATATATATATACATACAGATTTTACAGAAAACAATAATCACATTTTATTATTAAATTGAATATACATATTTTTTATGTATTATGATTGTAATGTTATTTCTCTTTTAGATTCTAAAAGAAACATATAAATTCAAATACACAGTAATAATTTCCAGAAAGTAAAATGTACTTGAATGAACTTCTGCATGGTTGTTGGTGTTAAACTCCCGAACACTTGATTTTAAAAGTGTAGAAAATCTCTTTTTTTTTTGTTTTTATTCTACATCCAGAGCAATTTAAAATTTAGAACACGTTCCGTTTCATGCATATGCGCACATGATCTATAATGTACGTAACGTGTACTATGAATAAATGCGCGCATATGCATGAAACGGAACGCATCTTATAAGCGTCTTACAAAAACTGTAAACACTGTCGATCACGTTGCAATGGATTTTACGACAACGTCTATTGGCACAATTCTCAAACATATACGAAGTCTCTGTCTATAATTCTTCAGTCTATAAGTATATGGTCATACAACGAAATATAATCCGTTTTATATGCGAACAACTTCGCGCAAAAATCAAAATCTTATGGCGTGGCCACCTTCACGAAAATTAAATAAAAAGTTAATAGTTACCGATAACATATAACTAAATTAAGTTAAAAATTAAGAGCCCAAAACTGTAAGTAAGTTAAGGTAAAATTATTTAACTTTTTAACTTTTTAACTTTTTAACTTAACTTTATCTTTTTACCTAGACACTACCTAACCCAGATTATGTCATATATCTCAATGTCACTTGAGACATATATTTCACATTTATGCGCGCGCGAACGCACACACACACACATGAATTTTAACAACTTACTACTATTACATTTATATTATACTTACCATTACTTACCACAAATATACATTATACTTATAATATATTATACTTACGATATATATATAAATTTTACAGATTTCTAGGTATAGTTGCTTTATATATGTTAATCACTATTTTAATCTAATTATATATGTCACACATAAATATATCTTTAACCTTTCTGCGTACAAAATTATTTTCTTATTGCTTACCCTACTACATAAATTTTAAATATAAACTTATGGTACAAAATGTTTAATATAAAGAAAACCGATGCTATAGGTAGATAATTCTGTCATTCTAACATGTAGTTCAAAAAGCTTTAGATAAAAAATTCATTTGTATTAAAATTCAAATATATAGAGTAAGTCAGAAGAAGATAGACCATGTGGATGAGACGGACCACACGCACATTTTCTAAACTATTTGTTAGATGTGTATTTATTGAAGTTATTGTTAAATGTGTACTTACAAGCAGGAAAGTATTTATGTAACTTGCATTTGCATAACAGATGAATATTTTGTATCTTTAATTACAAAGGTATGTGTGAAAAATTCTAGCTTACCAATTTTTGTTTGTAAAATGTTCAATTAAATACATATTTACTTAAGTTTCTCGACATAATCTATCAATTTGAAACATTTTTAAAGACTTCCAATGTAAGAATTGTCAAATACTTTCTTGTATAAAAACTGCACTGTAGTGTCCATTTATTCCACTTTTAGGGATAGATGAGCACTAGGAAAAGAAGATAATCGAAGGAACTACTAGTTTTATTGGCGTTTTCAGTATGTCAACAAAATAACCGCAAATATGCATAGGAAAGAGGTAGGGCTGCGGTTATACAAATA